ATCTGCGTGGGTTCGCAGTTTCGAATCCCATGCGGGGATAGTTATGTGCGATAGGATTGCTGGACCCCTCGCCGCCGTAGGGTGGTTCACGTAACCGCTTGTCGGTTACGGCTTCCTCCACCATCAAGTCAATGCTTCCGAAAACAAATAACTAATCCCAGGGGAGAGGAAATCCGATAAGACAGCTTAAACATAGGGCGAACCACGGCCTCTCGTCCGGTTACCAGTTTATGTTGTCGAGTATGGGGTTAGTTAGCCAGTTATTTGTCCCAGATGTATGGACTTGATGGTGCAGGAAATTTGAAATGCACGATACAACGAGCCGGTGAAATATTTGTGAAAAAACATAACAATGTACATTTTTATAACAAAATGGCAAATGGGTGTATCGAAAAAAGGGTAGCCTACTCCTGAAGTATGCGCTCCAAGATGTCGCACGACCTGAACCCTAACCTGGTACACAACCTGAGTTCAGGTTGTGCGCCATCTTGGTGCGCATACTTCAGGAGATCCAAAAAAAGAAATACAAATCATGTGTAATCAATTTGCTGGTGAAGAATATAGAAAGTGAATTGTCAAAAAGTGAAAAGAACTAGTAACGGAAAACACAGTAAAGTAGGCGAGTATGGCGGTCATGACATCAAGCTTAATGAAAGCATCAAAACAAACACTAATCACACAGTGGAAATAAAAATTCCTTCACAAAAATTAAAAAATTGGGGAAACTAATTATTTTAACTGGGTGTAACGAAAAGCAAACCATAAAAAGATTGATAAATATTTACTGGGAATGAATGAATAATTCTTGCGGAGAATGAAAAAGCAATAATTGTTTTCATGGTAACGAAACGCCTCTATTAGAACAGAAAATATGCATGATTCAACACCATCAGCACTTGGGAAAAGAGTCCTATTAGCGTGAGAAAATGACAAATAAACAAAAATGAACTGAACAATAATGTACATAAATTAAATCACATTTGTGAAAGTCTACATTATCAGATTATTGTTTTTACTGTACTTAGACTTGGACTGGACCCCTGATTCATCTGTTTCCTGGCGTTTCTGAGCATTTGACTGTGTCTCTTGTACCAGTATTCCAAAAATCTACGTATGTGCAGTTTGCAGGAGTGTCAGCACACACAGATAAAACTGTAGATAAAATTATGAGAGTTTTTAAAACCATGTTGCAGTTCGTGTTCCCATCATGAATTTTCTTCAATGTAGCAAAATCGTATTAGTCCGTATTCACTATAACTTATATCATATATGAGTCCTAATATAATAACTTAATGAACAACGAATAATTAACTAGTCATAGTAATACGAACGACTTAATATACAGCGAATAATCTACCATACCAAACTTACTAATTTAAACTTTACTAAAAGTTTTGTTCGCTTTCCTGGTTTTGTAATCAGTTTTATTTGGTTTTTAATTTTATTATCATCTTTCATGCTGATTATGATATCAAAATAAACTTATACTGGACTCCACAAAAAAAATTTGGAATTATCACAAATAAAATGAACTAAAAAATATTAGTCATACTATAGTTACATCAGGTGAATATCCGATGAATGCACTTGAGTCTATTAGTTTTATTCAATTATGATAATGATGAATCGGTACCAGTAGGCACGATAGATTAGGTGTTGAAATTTTCATGATGAATCAGTCAAATATAGTCAAATTAAATGTTGAACATGCAGAATGAAACGAGTAGGCCCAATAGTGTGGTTCAACTAAAATTAGAGTATACAAACTGGACAAGGTTTTCATTCATTTCTATCAGATACCTTATAGCGAACGTTTAATTGAGGTGGACCAGTCTCGACACGAAATGTGATCAGCTTCGTATACTCTACACCAGGGCTTCCCAAACTAGGGGCCGCGGCCCCTCAAGGGGCCGCGAAACGTATTTTGGGGGCCGCAAAGAGAACACCAATTTTACACAAAGTACTTTGCATCTTTTCAGACTCTTGATTCGAAATACAATTATTAAAACAAGTGTAAAAAAATCTCCCGATTCCGAGTGAATACATCATCTTAGCCTGTTTCCCCGAATATAAGACAGTGTCTCCAATTTTTTTTCGAAAAATAACACCGGGGCTTATTTTGGGGGATGTTTTTTATTTTCATTTTTTACTCACAAATTTACAAATTAGGGAATTACGTGAATTTTAAATATACAAAATAGGAAAATCGATTTCCATTTACTTATAAGTAACACGTTTTTATTTAAAATAACTGCTAAACAGCCGTTAAAAAGGAGTAGAAAAGATTTCTTGCTATCGACTGGGTCAAAAAATAAAAATATTGCGCTAACGAGTAAGTTTTATTTTAATAAGTGGAGGGCTAGGTCGCATTTTCTTATTTTCGGGGAAACACGGTAGAATCCTCGCGCTTGCATAACAATGTCTATATTGATCGTAAACACGATTTGATTGCACAGCGATGCCGGTTTTAATCGTTATGCCAGCGGTTCCCGAAGGCGCTTTGCTAAGTGTGTTTCGAAAATTAAGAGATTTGTGTTAAATATCAACTAATATATGATTGAATATTTTATTTATTTTAAAGGTTTTATTGTTTCTCATCATTGTAAATGATGTATATTATGAATCAATAATTTCATTTCACCGCTCTATGTTGTTCACTTTCTGTTACGTAGGGTCTATCGTTACGTAACAGTAGAGGTAAACCCTACTTGCTGCAACATGAGTGATTTTTTAGCGTCTTAAAAAAGAACATGGCACAGATAAGAAAGAGAAGTTAACCTTTTGCCTGTATTCTTTAGGCCTACTACTTGTTTATAAACTCTAAAAGGCATAAAGTACACATTAACGATGATAAAATTGTGTTTTATTTGAAGGCAGCATATTTTTGTGTAGGTGCGCCGTGCGTTTTTTACCTGATAATTTGGCGCTGCACGAACCGCTGCCTTATGCTAAATTGGATCATTGAAAGTAGGTAACAAAGCCTGATAAGGACCATGCCGTCAGGCCTTCAATCGACAAACATTAAGCCACGGCTGAACTTGCTGCAAAACATTCGCACTCATCACACTGAATAATTAAGTTGTGTTAATCGGAGTAAAAGTGAATTTGTTTTTGTTATCCAGTAGACCTACTAAAAGTTGAGAATTGAATGTGTCAATAAAACATTTCGAAATGTTTAGCATTATTTTAACGTAAACAGGGGCCGCGAAAAATTTTGGTATTTCAAAAGGGGCCGCGAGCTTAGAAGTTTGGGAAGCCCTGCTCTACACATCAAAACCTTTTCGTGTTACTACCGGTATAAGCTAATTTTGATGAAAGCATTTACGAATACACCACAAAAAAAATTTTGAAGTAATGATTTGAAATAGCGGTAATATGTGCTGTCACACACTCATTGAATATTAGGGTTTTTATTGTTAGAATGGGGTTTAAGCCAAACAGTTACTATCACAATTGATAAACTTTGGTCGCGCAAATCCTAAAAAATCATTAAATGTCAGATTACTTTTTAGTAATTGTCGTAGCAAAGGATAGAAATCTTTGAATGGCTACTGTTATATGCTACATGGAAAAGAATTAAAATCGCAGTTCAAAGCATTAATATATTATATTGCCCGGTGTTAAGTCTTTCTTATGTCTGTTGTAGGCTATAGATGCTGTTATTAAAATCTGTGATTCTAACACAGTTCAGATATTAATGTCTCATTACTAGGGCTAGGAATGATTAACCCGTTAAATCGGTTAGATAGTTAACGGTTACAATTTATTTTAACCATTAATTGACATCTCAGGTACAAATCATCTTTATAATGTACAATTTTTTCAGAAATGATTCCGTCATCGCAAATTAATCTCCTGTGTTGTTTAATTCAAAAGAATATCACTAACTGTATTGGTACGGATCCAATAAACGTGAAAAATAATCGAAGTACTAAAATTGCTAATTATAAAAATTTGACAATGATAAATTCCAAATCCGTTTTCTGTCGAAATATATATTTTTCCCGATTTTATTGCCAAACCGGATATTCAATGTCATTCAACAAAGGCGCAGTTGCTGATGCTGTTTTTCTTTATAATATCTCAGAGTAGAATTTGCACGTCAAACGCTGAAAATTCGTGACATAAATGACATTTAATAACGGATTCGGAATTTAGTAAAATTGCTTTGTAACCATTTGGACGTAACAAGCTAAAATTATAAATTATCACGTCAAACGTCACGCTGCGGTTAAGCAGTTAATCTGCCCGGTTAACAGTTAAAGTGTTTCCCCTGGAATTCCCAGCCCTACCCATTACACTTTCTCTACCAAGGCCATGGTTTTTGAGGCTTACTAATGGGAAGTTAACCACCGAGTTCAACATTACGCTCACAACAATTCACCGCCTAAATCGATGGTCTGCAACCAATGGGTGCGCCTGACGTCGACCTGTTCGCTGAAGAGGTCGTTGCCGAGCCGTATACTATTATAGATGAAATGTTTTGAAACATTTTTGTAACATTAGACGCAATTCATGTCGCGCATTAAATGAAAAGAGATTTTCTTGTCAGATTTTTAACATCTTGCGGTGAGTTATTGCAAATTCATTGTCAATCATTGTGAATCCATCATCAGTGCGAATAGAGTCACGCATTACTTTAACATTTGCACTCAAAAACGTCTACCGTCAGGCGCCGCTTGTCGGATAAACGTTCAGATTTATTTTAATACCAGATTATTATTTAAATAAAGTTGGCAAAGTATCGCTGGTTGATAGATGAAGGAGTGGCACTCGTGCTTGTTCCTTAGATTGTCAGATTTTTCCTAGTTTGACCACATACTGCCACTGAACTTCACTTTAATCATTGAGTACAAGCTACTACCAACGTTTTGCCATAGAAAAGCGGTTTTAAACTAGATTAACCGATTAGGCTTTGTGAACAACATAATTTGAAATATGACATAATATGCTTCATGCACAATATCAGTATATATATAACTAGATGACTTATTTCGAACTCTCGCACAATATTGGGAATAGCTTTGAGATTTCCCAAACGTCATGATTTTTATTGGCTCCATTGAGCATTTATTTGTTTTGTGCCTGCTATGTAATTTGGCAGAGGGTAACATATTAAATTATCAAGAACCGGAAGACAAAAACGTGGGCTATCAAAATGAAGATAAGGCTTCGAGTACACGCCGAATTTCAATCACGGGAGCAGATATATTTCATATCGAAGGTAAGTAAATTTGCATTACGTTCGTCGTCTCTGAATTAAAGCTTTATACTTACAATAATTTTCAGCCTGCTACGGCAATTACACGCCGAAATTACATTTTGGCGCCATAATACTGCTTCCGTATACTGCACAAACGGTGTGGGAAGAATATAATTCGTTCACGCATGTGTCGTAAATATTCCTGTGAAGCTCGGTATGAACAAATCTGAAATGTTGTGGTGAAACCAAACTTTGTCAATAAAAAGTATTTATCATTTCGATGTATGTAAGAATCACCAAAGCAAATGTTTCACAAGTCATTTTTTATACAGAAATTTATTTGGTTATGAAGTTGAGACGAGCAGAAACTGGAAGCATGCGCTTACTAAACTTGGTATTTTATGCCATTCTAATTTTTTTTAGCCTTCTGGCATAAATTTACTAACCATTTCTCACATTTCTATTCAGGCAGAAACGTTTTGAGATTTAACATGACGAACCTACGTAGTATATCGCCAGCTGAAATCGTGAAAATGGAACTTCACGTCGAGTTCAGACGAAAGCGAGGTTACAGAAAAACGTCAATGGCTTTGTTTTTATTATCACCCAATAACAAAACAGCCAAAATCTTGGCGAGAGGAGTACCCGTAAAAATTGGAGGCCGTCTGAGAAAGTTTGTTTTAAATTTAACAAATTTGATCGAAGTGACAAATCGTAACTCGACTTCACAGCGCTTTTCTTTTTTATCACATAATATAGCAGACCAAGCATTTCATTTAGCGGCTATGTGCAAACGAAATAGATTGATACGAAGCTGCGAGGAATATGGATTTAATTTAGCGACTCCGCCGAAGTTATTCATATATTATACTACAAAGTAAACTGATATGGAGAACTCATGTGTGAGGGAAATTAATCCAATATATATTGAAAATGTGGAAAACAATTTGCTTGCATTTTATAGTAATTCTGCTTGGCTTTTGGAGTATGCCTATACTGCTGTGCTTATGCGTTTCATGTAGACGTAATTTGCTATTCAGCGCATTGAATAATAAAGTTTCCTGCATCAAATTTTATGTCTTTGCAATATTCCTAGGCAAACGCTCATGTTTTTCGCCACACATCACTGGGACTTGACTTAAAGAGGGTGGATAAATATTGCTGGTTTTCTCCGCGATTTCCTATTCTTGCCTGAATTCTGTATAACAAGTTGACGATATTGTACTCCACTAAATGAACTGTATAAATTATTGTTCTAAATATTATATTTAAGTCACTTAAAGGTAACAAAGTGAATGAAAAACATACTCAAAAAGGCATCACGTGGAAGTTTGTGATATTGGTAGTCACAAAATCAATCGTATTATGTTTTTGTTTTCGTAGAATGTTCATTTTTAACATCAAAATGTCATTCGATACCATTTTTGTACATGTAAAATATATGAAAAGTTTGGAATCTTTACCAGTTGTAAAAATAATTTATTCACCACTCTTTTGCAAATAACTTTGAAGCCGTTACATATTGGTGCGGAGAATGATATTGTATTTATACAAACTCGCGTAGCATATTTAAAATAAAAAAATGACATTTAATCTGGAACATCAATATTCGGGATGAAAATAGACATGAGTATAAATGTCCACGAATGGATGTGCGCAAATGTCTGTGGATATAAAGTCGTCTGTGACAGCCAATATTCGTGAAGCCATATGTTCGTGGGTGCAAATGGCCGTGGGTGCGAAGATCATGGGTGCAAATATCAGTGGGTGCAAAATGCAAATATACATCAGTCCGAATGTCGGTGTGTGCTATTGTCTATGTGCCCCTATGTCCGCGCGTGTAATCTATAAATGACCTTGCACGCAAAAATATGCAAAAAAAGCAATATCATGGGCGCTATTCATGGGTGCAAATGTACTTGGGTGAAAAAATAACGAAATAGACCGTGACCATATGTTAGAGGGTGACGATTCCTGCTTTTAATAGTAGGGGAGAGTGGGGCACGGTGGCCCATGGGGCACAGTGGTCCAATCCACTCACTAGCGACACCGGTGGTCGTACCGGGCACGTGACCAAACTGAAAAAAGTCACGGTCAAGCCTGTCCTCTAAGTCTAGGAAATTTATTTGCGCCGGTAGGTCGTATTGGAAAAAGTTAAGAGACTTTCGTTGTTTTTAGGGGGCCAAAGTAAAAATAAATTGCCGGAGTTTTTTTCTTCTAAACTGCAGCCCGCATGACTTTTGTCGCCCATATTGGCATGCCAGGTAGGTGCCCCACAGTGGCTTATGACGGGGTATAAGATAGATCGGCACTCTAGCCTACTTGTCGTGAGAGGGTCAATTATCCCAGAATGGTGGGCTTGGGCACAGTGGGACATCAACCACGAGTACACACTGGGACGTGTCCCACTGAACCCCTCCACAGCTCTGTAGGGTTTGAGGGACCTAGAGTAGCCTACCTTCTGTCCCCGCTCCTGCTTGCTAGTTGCAATGTTGGATTGTCTTCCTATTTCAGAGAAATCCTAATTGATTTAAATAAACAACTAGCAAAATGCCACGTAAAAGGAAAAGAAAAACCTCAATAGGACAGATTGATTCATTGGTAATGAAGAGAGCAGCGGAGCAGGTGATTCATGAAGGCAAAAAACTGCGTACAACTGCAAGAGAAAATGCCATTCCCAAAACAACCCTATCAAGGTACGTCAAAAAACTGAAGTTGATGTCAGAAAGTTCTGTGTCCGACTCAGCGCCCTCAGATAGCCTCGAGTATTTTCGTCCTAACTACACGGTAAGAAGAATATTTTCGGATGAGGAAGAAGGTGAGCTTTCGAGTTATCTGCTACAGGCATCCAGACACTACTACGGGCTTCGAAAAGACGAGGTTCGAGAGCTAGCGTATGAAATGGCAGTTAAAAATGGAACAAACATTCCGCGGTCATGGGTTGAGAACAGTAGGGCAGGACGCGACTGGCTGTACGGATTCATGCAGCGTCATCCTAAACTCTCTCTGCGCAAACCAGAAGCCACAAGTTTGTCGAGAGCTACCAGTTTCAACAGGAAAAATGTTGGCGAATTCTTTGATAACCTTGATTCCGTAATGAAGCGTAACAAGTTTGAGCCAAATTCCATATATAACATGGACGAAACCGGGTTAACTACCGTTCAAGTGCCGTCCAAGATCATTGCCGAAACAGGTATAAAGCAAGTGGGAAAGATTACTTCGGCCGAAAGGGGACTTCTTGTGACAATGATAGGCGCAGTCAATGCACTAGGAAACTCCATACCTCCGTGCTTCATTTTTCTTAGAGTCAACTTCAGAGAACATATGCTGAGAGGTGCGCCACTTGGTGCAGCTGGGTTTGCAAACAAATCTGGTTGGATAAATTCAGAAATCTTTCTTTCATGGATGAAACATTTTGTAAAACATGCAAACTGCACACCTTCAACTCCCGCACTATTACTAATGGACAACCACAAGAGTCACATCACGATTGATTCTCTCAATTACGCAAAGGAAAATGGTCTGGTTCTCCTCACATTTCCACCCCACTGTAGTCACAAACTACAGCCTCTGGACAGGTCAGTATACGGGCCGCTGAAACATTACTACAATAACGCCGTTGATGCGTGGCTAACTCTTCCAGAACATGCAGGCAAAACTCTAACGATATACGATATCGCCGGAGTTCGCGCGTTCACGCCTGAAAATATTCAGTCGGGATTTCGGGTGTCTGGAATATTTCCGTTTGATCGAGATATATTTGGCGACCATGAGTTCTTGTCTTCCTCTGTTACAGATCGCCCAGAACCAAAAGAAGATGATAGCGAAGAGTGTCAGGCTGCGCCAAGCAACGCCGATGTAAGCTCTTTGCCTGGGACCTCCGGCACTACTGCACATTTCTCACCAGAAGCTCTAAGGCTGCGGCACCTGCTGAAACGAGCAGTGATGAATCATCTGTCCCCTTGAATGACGATAGCGATCTGGAAAGTGAAGTTGATTCGCGTGTAGACGATAGTGTAGATCGGGTGGCAGCTGTGGGGGATTTTGCCATTATTAAATTCAGTAGAAGGCGTGGTGGAAACGCGTTGCATTACGTCGGTAAAATTCTTGACAAGGACGACGACGAGAAGGAATTTGAAGTTATATTTATGCAAAGAATCCCGTCGAAAGCAACAAATTCCGCTTTTGTTTTCCCCGAGGATGAAGAAAGCACATTCGGGCTGGATGAAGAAGATGTAGTCTGTCGCCTTGAAGCTCCAGATAAAGTTGGCGGCACGGCAAGAGCTTCCAGACACTACCGATTTAGTGAAGATCTCACGCAATGGAATATCCAGTAGCTTTGAAGGACGAATAAGGGCTCGATATTTTAGCAAAATTTCTTTCCTGATGGTGTTTTGTTCTTTATAAATTATTTCCTCCTCAGTGTCCCACTGTGACCCAACCTTCGTCCCACTGTATACCGACGTCGGGGCACAGTGGGGCAAAATTTTTTTTTCAAAAAACCTGGCTCACAGGAAAAATATTCCCATTGAGCAAATTCTTTGGTAAGAAATAAAAAGTTCGTTTCTCTTACAATGTAGTCATATGCTTTAGAAGTTGAAATAGCGTAGTAAATAGTTCGAAAATCGCCAAAGAAAAAATGAGGGCCACTGTGCCCCACTCTCCCCTAAAGGATGCTTAAAAACGAAACAAATTGTGGTGAGGTAACCAAGTAGTCGGGGATTGAAGTGGTTTACTCACCAGTTCACCAAACAGGCAGTTAAATGAAACACTTAACTTTGTGAATGCAAACAATAGCGATGTTAAACTTCGAAGTATCGTTTAGGTCTGTAACTGAATAGCCAGTACACAATATGTTGAGAATTTTCACTAGTTAGCAGAAATACGGAATATTGAGAATCAAATAGATATAGAATAAAAAAGTAAAAATGACTTCAACTAAGGGAAAACACAATAAATACGACTGCAGTTTTATTGCTGCCTATTGTTAATCCGGAATAAAAATCATTTAGGCCTACGAAGTTAAATAATGTCCTAAAACCAAGGGCGACAAGCTCCTTTGAGGAAATCCAATCTCATCGATATGTGACCTTGCCACTCTTGTGGGTGAACCCGAATAAATCGACAGATTAGAACGTCTGGAAAAACGGTAATAACCTTTGAATTTCTATCCTTGTTTGCATTGAACACCTAAATTAATAATAATATAAAGGTTGGTTTCTAGTAGCGCTGAAAACAACTTAGAAAACTTATTTTGTATTGAAACTCGCATACACGATGCTGGGATCATCGTTAGTTAAATCGTGACGCTTGTACGACAAAGTAAAAGAGCGATGCTCATGTATATATATATATATACGCGAAAGTCCAATGACTAAGTGCAGAACCGGTTGCATTTGCAACTTTAATTCGCTTAAATCTGAATTGCAAATCAAGTATCTCCACCGCAGAAGTTCACACCGGTACCGGTAAAGCCGTAGCTGAGTAGTGAGCGCCCTCTTTGTCGAAAATACGGGGTACTGACCCAATATTAGTAGAAATGGCAAATATTGAGTAAAATACCGGATTCTATATATAACGAAGGGGAAATAAAATAAACGTCCTTCCTTCCAACGACTTCAATTACTGAAATTCTGAAACCGATTGGCCCTCTGACTTGCAGGGAAAGAATTTTTTTCAGCAACAACAACAACAACAAAAAGCAGACAGAAAATATTCATACGTGCATTTCATGTTCTACAAACAACATCTTAACTTGTTTACTTGTTCGTTTCCTTGTTTTACAATGAATTTCATGGCATCTGTTGAGTTTCCACAACTAACTTTGAAGCTCTTCACCCACTGATCGGAATCTCTTCTACCTTGTGTGACAACACCCGTGATAGATAAAGGTTTACCAAAATAAACTTGGATCCAATGGCCGATGACATCTGTCAAAAATGTTATCAACTCAAAATAAATAAGTGAAGGCAAGTTGAACTCTATTCATATCACAATTTTAAAAAATTGCAAAACGTTATTCATTCACAATAAGCATCGTATACGAATCTATACATTACACTTTTATGTTTCTATATATAGTATTAACATAAACCAATTAGGTGGACAAATTACATATATATACTACAAAACCCCCATGTTACGATGGAAAATTGTCGAAAATTCACTAATTTCACTACAGGGCAGTAATATTCACTAATAGGTCACAAGAAACGGCGCATAACTGAAATAAAGAAAACAATCGCAAATGGATATGAAGTGATCATGTTTGATGGCGAATAACAATCGGAATGATACCTAATATAAACCATCGAACAGAACAAAAAATTGCAACGAGAAACAGTGTTCTACTCTGGGTATATAAATAATATTTACTTGTTTTGGCGCACCACGCTGTGGAATATCCAGGTGTATCGGGCAAATCTAATCTTCCCAACCTTGGTCCATGGTTTTCTGCAAATTCAGATGATGACGTAATAGAAGAATCAAGAATTTTTCCACTTTTCACCCCCATCAAGCAATAGTTAACTGTCAATATAAGTTTGGAAACGAAAAAATGTATATTTATTTATTTATATATATATTCTTTGTAACATAAATTTTACTTACTTTTTTGGTCTGGAAACCCGGTTGCCATAAATGTCATAAGATCTGTAAATCATATTTGAAAGATTTTTATTTTACCTCAGTGAAATCCAATGTTATTGCTTATGATATACCTGATTACAATTTACAATATAAATCTTTAGCAGCCATACTACACGTATTATTTAAGGGTTATTCAATTTGAATTGCGGATTCGTGATCTCCAACGTACTTTCGACTCTTGAGTAAATAAATTTTTATAAAATTTGCAAAAATATATCCACTCTATCTTACCGTCCACTGTGTATAAATCTTTATCTTCCAACGGCTGAGATGCATAACTGCTTGGCATAACTGTAAAATCCAGTACGACATTTTATATTTACCGTCACAATTAATCGTGATTGTAATTCTATACTTTATCCATTGCTTTATAAAAGTATTAAATGATACCAACTTTGATACAGAGCAGCACATATAGCGGCAACGACGGCAAGCTTCGGCCACGAAGATGCGATTGTGGCCAAGTATTCCCAAGCTGTAGTGTGAACATTGAAGAAGTTTCCTCGTTGCTCTAAATTATTTAAAAACAAAACTAAGATATTTTTTAACAAAACAATAACAACTTGTTATTTTAAATTTTCAAATGTATTCTAATGCCGCTTGAATATAAATAGCCAACAGGAAAAGGGATCGGGGTCTGAGACTAGTCTTAGATCCGCATTCGTGGAATCCTGGGGCCTACTAAATCAATTTGAGACGCCATAGTGGAATAGGCTTTAATTAAGTCTAGTATTTTACGTTATATCTCAATATTTAGAAATAAAACGTCTCATTATCATCAAGTATTCTTAAAGTATTCAATAATTACAGATGCTACGCTAAAAATGCGACCAGGTTCAAATTATTTATTGTTGAATTTTCATTTTCTTAATTACCAAGAAATTGAGAACGATGGACCTCATACTTATCGATGATACACGTACCTCTGTTTCTATTTACCCCTACCCAATTTTCACATGGACAGCTATATTGCTCTCGTATGTAGTGGATTTTCACTGTCTCATTTTCTCTCTTGATTTCTTCATCGCCTGGTGAAAAATTGAATTTGTATGTTGTTTGCTAACCAAGATGAACAAGTTTAAATCAATTGCAGGAAGTAACTGAAATATATGGAAACTTCATTGTAATTGAATTTGAAGAATTCTTGTTTAACAATATTATATTATTACACTGTAGAATATACCAATTTTAAGAATAGTTTGCATTATTCTGTGTGAATACAATATTCCATGTATCAAGTTCGCTAATATACATTTTAAATGGGTGTATTCTTCCTGTGCTTCCCGCCAAGTTACAAATATACCATGCGTGACTAAGCTTGCACTTAGCTTTTATAAGATAGAAAACATTAATACCGGCTTCATTTATGATTTCATTATATTATTATTTTTTTATGAATTTCTTCAAGTAACGTAATCTAAACTTTTGTATAGTCATAAAACTGACGTGTTTCTCGGGAAATTAATCTGGCGCCATTTGATGATTTTAGTGACGCAGGTTCCAATTTGATCACATCTTCTAAATCACGTTTGTTGCAATCTAAACAAACGAAAACGTAACTATTTAGAATTACTGCTATAAACAAATGTTACTGTAATCAACCAATATTGTAAAAAAAAATAGCAAAACACCTCAGTAATAAACATATCGCTGAATACTAATATTTTTCAATATGAGAGGAAATAGAAAACGATAGGTACTCAAAACGAAAAATTGAACAAAAATTTATTTAAGAATCTCAACCTTTGTGTATATAAGTTCAGTTGTAGGCCTACTCATTCACTTTATTTTTGAAAAGTTAGAATTCATCTGGAAATGATTTCAACGATTTCAAGGTGAATTATTAAGTTGTGATGACGGTACACTGCAGTGGCGGCGCGTGGTCATTTTGACAACCGGGGCAAGCTACTGCGGGACCAAGTCACCCCCATCTACGGGGACAGGATGAGCGCTGTAAGTTCTCCCATCATTTTATGAGTATAAACCATTCCATCGGTAACAACCAATCGGCAAAAGCGACAATTTTTAACGATAAGAAAGTGTCTTTAAAACCGGTCCAAGTCAAGGGATTAATAAATATAGACATAGTTTATTTTGAAACCTCTTTCAAAAGGAAAGGCAATATTTACCCAGATAAATACAATGACATATTAACAGAAACTTCGGGAAAGCAGACAAAACCTAAAATAAGGTTTAAAACGTTACTATGAAGAAAGGAAAGTTAATGTAAAGATAAGAACATGCGTCGCTCACTCATAGATATATATGCTGCTAGACTTCTACTGCTTGAACATATATGCAACACGCCGCGGTTTCTTGCAAGCAAAATGCTCAATAACGCGCTGATTAAAGTCATGCATTCCAGAAATAACGTCTCTGTGAATGGATAAAACAGCCAAGGAATTTAATCTATCTTGCTTCATTGTGTTTCTGAGATACATTTCAATACGCTTCAGCGTGCTGAATGTTCGCTCTGCGTCGGCGGAAGAAATAGGCGTCGTCAAAATGATGTCCAGAAATTTGGCAGACGCCGCAAAGGTAGTTACTAGAGTGCTATCTATGAGGAACCCATAGAACGCGCAAGTTGATGTGATGTTCAAAAAAGTTTGATTGGTGTATATACATCGCAATTCATTTTCCAATTTACCCACGTTTATCATGGGGTAAAATTTGGAGACGGTAGGCAACAAATGGATGGGAAATTGACGTGCAAATATTGGGGTTCATCAAAGAGAACGCGGCAAGGTGTTCAGTGCGCAGACGATCGCCTATTTGATTCACCAAAATGTCACAGCATTCCTTTGCAGACAAAATCAAACGCTGCGTTGTTTGCCCGCGGCGTAAAGAAGCACTCCATGTGTCGTCGTATTTTATTGTTTCCCGGATACGAGATACAGCATCGCAGAAGTCTGCAATACACGACTGCACAGACGCTCCTTCCATTAGCCTTGACTGCAATGCGCCGTATAATACATCCACTTGATAGAATATTGTGGAGAAAAAATGAAAACTCACCATCTTCTAGCAGACGCTTTAGACCTGCCGCCTCCCTCACAGAGCGTTCGTCCCAAACCGGAGAGCTCTGAATGCCATTGAAACACTCAATGAGCTCAGACCTAATTTTGGACACGCCCTGCACCACGCGTGATTGGAAGTTCCAAGGTGTTGGTGCACAAGCTGGGAGACGGCGGCTACATATCTGGCGAAGGAGGTCAGAGCGCTTCGGCGAAACGGAAAAAAATGAAGAAAACCCCGAAACATTTGCAAAAAATATACGGACGAGAGGGGTATCAAGACACATATTTTTAATAACGAGGTTAAATTGGTGTGCATAACAATGTTAAAAATGCGCATGAGGAAAATCTTTTTTTATATAAACTTGAACACCATGTTTCGACCCACTCATGACTGCCGCGCCGTCATAAGTTTGAGCTATCAATTTTGACTTCGCGTTGTAAGGCTGTAACACTTCTTTCAGTACAGCCGATATCCCGCAAGCCGTGCGATCAACGATTGGTACAAAGCTGTGAAATCTCTCGGTAGGTTTACCATCTTTCACAAACCGAAAAATCACAGCCAGTTGGGAAACGCACGTGATGTCAGTTGTCTCGTCAGACTGAATCGAAAGGAACTGGCAATTCTCAATTTCCAGAGCCAAATGTTGTAAATAAATTTTATACATTGAGTCGAGCAAATCATTTTGGATATCCTTAGATGTCCCTTTCGAAACAATTGCGACATCAAGATGATCTCTCAATACTGTATCTAGAGATGCGGTGTATTCCACTATATCCAAAAATACCCCTCCATTAGAAGAGCAAGCCCGTTCATCGTGCCCACGGAGGGACAGCTCGTGACAAACCAATGAACTTCAAAACATCTATCAATCGACCGAGAACATGGCGGTTTTTTTCAACGTTTTGGTTGTGCCGATGATTAGAAACCGCGCGTCCTTCATCCAACTGTGCTGCAATATTAACATTTCCGAATGTTCGGTATTTTACTGCATTGTCCAGATGCTCCATAGAAGATTGATGATCCCTGGCACGCTCGGAAAGATGTTTAAGATCTCTAAAACCAAATTTACACCAACGTGAGTCACGGGCGGTAGCAAAAAGTAGGCAATGAAAACAAAAAAGTGCATTTTTGTCCTCGCTGTAACACAACCATTCGTGTTTTTTATACCAAGTTTCTGCGCAGAATGTACTCCGACGCTTTCCTCCGTCATGGGATTGTTCCAGTGAATAATTTTTTGGTTGATAAGGCCCAAGACGTTGTACCTCTAATTTTTGTTCCAGCGGCAGCTGCGAAAACGGAGTGCGAAGTAGTGCATCAACCCTATTCATTATGAGGTCTAAGGCTAAGAAATGCGAAGCCGGAAAGAAGTGAGGAGCTCAAAAGGAATGTGGAAAATAGAAAGCAAATGGACTAAAGGTCTCTAACTGATTCAAATAGCGAAACAAGCGACAAAAACGAAGGCGAGGAAACTATCAACTCTTCAAGCAACCAACGAACGAGAAGGAATGCGTGAATATGTCAACACGTTGTTGTAAGAAACGTCGGCATTGTGTCGTCATAATTTCGGGGCTAGCCCCGATGATTTAGTAAAAGAAACAGAAAACAAACGAGACAAGCGCGGCGAGTGGAAGATAAAAGAGAGAATACGATATACAATGAGCAACCGGGGCAAAATCGGCGTCGCCCCGTCGACGTTCGGCGAAGGCTTTGCGAGCGAAAAATGAACCATGTCGGGAGAATATGGCTAGTGTAGACAGTCTGTGCAACCGATATTGAGGTATTTTTCGAATATTTTTCACTATATCGAAAAAACCTATTGACGCGCCGCCACCGCGGTACAGGAGCATATGAAGAATAGGCATCACAAGCAATATTAGATAATATTATATTGATAATCAACGTTTAACATAATTTTTTATCACTTTACCCACTTCTGTTGTCAATGTTCTCCCCAAGAAGTGCCGTTGCATTGTTATGCAGTCTTTCAGCCATTGGTTTATTATGTGGTATTCTGCCGTATTTATTTATATGTAAATATTGGCATATGTTTCTAAACGGAATTGTTTATAACTCTGATTTAAATATCATGCCCGAGCAAAATTGCGAGAACATAGAAATTTCAAACAAAAATATAACAAAAGATTAAGAAACTCATTTACATGTTATACTATCAATGCCTTTCTGTACCTGTCGGGGCTACAGTTTAGTAATTGGCAAGCAATTTTTATTCAAGTAATTTAACTTAAATGATATCCTCTCTCAAATATCAAAATATACGAATTAGGCTGAGCTCCAGCCTATTTGGTCTCAGGTTATATAGGCTACGTACTATATTGTTCTCACACTTCGCGGCGTTGGTTTCGAAATGCTGCAGATAGCCCAGTTGTGACAAAGCGACCGACATTATAAAGCACTTATTATTACACATTATAAAGCACAAGCATACAAGTCACAATGACGATTCTTCCTTCGACATTGTTTTGTGTGACGTCGCCAATTCAGGCGTAACTTCAGTAATTTATTATATATATCGCAACTGCCTTGCTTCGATGGTTTGACAAAACAATTCAACACATAGCAAAAGACAATTACAAACGACGGCTTTATTACGATTATTTTAACGCGCCATGTTTCAAAATATCCCAAAAAT